CTCCTCACCAGAGCTCTTGCCCATGTTTATTACAGCATCTGATCTGGAGTGAATCTCTGCTTCCATAAACTCTCCTAAATCACCAAACTGAGCTCAAATATGATTTATTCTAGCACCTTTTTTTCTGAGACATTCCATCATTTCCCACTGTTCTCCCTCCCATTCTGCAATGAATGAATAATAACCTTAATAGGTTTGTTATGTTGCTGTTATGTGCCATCGAGTGGAGTATGACTCAGAACAATACATCTGAACCCTATCCTATCTTGCCCTAGCCTGTGACATCCCATATACACTTATGGCCTTTGCCACAGTCACTGTAACAATCCATCTCATTGAAGGTCTTTCTCTCTTTTACTGAACCTTCATCTTTCTAAGCATGTTTTTCTTTTCTAAGCAATAGCGCCTCTTAACAACATGCCCAAAGTATATGAGATGAAGCTTGCTGCCAAGAAGCACTCTGGTTGCAATTTTTTTCCAGACAAATAAAACTTCTTTTGGCATTCTGTGGGATTCAGTGTTCTTCTCCAACACCACAGCTCAAATGTATAGATTGTTCTTCTGTCATTTGTTCAGCTCTCAGATGCATAGCAAGTGATGGAAAAGACCATACCTGAAGCAGGTGCATCTTGGTCTTCAAACTGACTTTATTTTTCTTCAGTTATTTGGAGAGGTCCCTGACAGCAGACTTTCTTACTGCAATATATCTTCTGATCTCCTAACTGCTGATACAAAGTGTATTGATTGTGGATCCAATTAAGATTAAGAAATTATTGACAATTTCAATATCTTCTCCATCAATTATGAGCTGGATAGATCCCCCGTCGGTACAGGGGTGAGGATTTTTGCCTTCTTAATGTTGTTCAGTCCATATTGATGACTGTAATTTTTTTAAAAATTTATACTTATTTACAAAATTTGAATAGTTTTTATTCCATTTCCCCTCAGCCCCCACCCATCAAATTATACAACTCCATGATTAATCTCCCACCCACCCCACACAATCTTATCCCTCTGCTTCCACCTACCACCACCCCAGATCTTCATAATCATTCTGCAATAATGGTTTCGTACAATATTTGACCTGTGGGACTGAGTTCATTCACTCAGCATAGTGCTCTCTAGTCCCTCCCGAGTTAGGTAATAGTTTACAAAATCACTGTTTCTATGTGCTGTGTAGTATTCCATTGTATGAATGTACCATGATTTCTCAATCCATTTGATGATAGCTGGACATCTGGGCTGTTTCCATGTTCTTGCAATCGTGAATAATGCTGCTAAGAACACTGATGTACAAGTCTCTGTTTGTGCCTCACTTCTCATTTTCTAAGGGTATATTTCAAACAGTGGAATAGCTGGGTCATATGGAATTTCTATGTTCAGCTTTTTGAGGAAGCGCCAAACTGCCTTCCAGAATGGTTGTACCATTTTACAATCCCACCAACAATGTTTAAGAGTTTGTATCTTTCCATATCTTCTCCAGCATATATTACCTGCTGCACTGCTAACCTTTGCCACTGCTACTGGAGTGACAGGGTATCTCATTGTGGTTTTGATTTGCCTATCTCTTATTGCCATTGATTTGGAGAACTTCTTCATGTGTCTGTTGGCAATTCAGATATCTTCTTCTGTGAAAATTTTTTTCATGTCTTTTGCCCATTTTATAATTGGGTTATCAGTCTTTTCCTTGTAGAGGCTCAGGAGTAGTCTATAAACTTGCATTATGAGACTCTTGTCTGAGATGGTATTACCAAATGTTTGTTCCCAGTTGATAGGTTTTCTTTTCACCCTTTTGCAAAAGGTTTTTGATGCACACAGGGATTTAATCTTTAGAAGGTCCTATTCATCAGTTTTAGCCTCTTCAGATTGTGCATTTCTATCTGTATTTGGCAGTCTCTTTATACCATTGACTAGGGCTTCTAAGTTTGATCCCAGTTTGTCTCTTATGAACTTTATGTTTTGGGCTTTACTCCCAGGTCTCTGATCCACCTTGGGTTGATTTTTGGGTATGGTGTGAGATGTGGATCCTGTTTCAGCTTTCTTCAAGTAGCAGTTTTGCCAGCACCATTTGCTGAAGAGTTTGTCATTTTTCCATTTGATAAGTTTGATTTCTTGGTTGAATATCAGTTGACCATAGATACCTAGGTCTATTTCTGGGTTCTTGACTCTGTTCCACTGGTCTGCGTGCCCTGTCATTGTACCAGTTCCATGATAACTGTAGTTTTTATTCTTTTGTGGCAAGTGTTTCAAGTCCTCCACATTTTCAGCAAGTAGAGTTATGTCATCTTCATAATGTAGGTTGTTGATGAATCTTTATCTGATCCTGCTGCTACATTCTTTATCATAGAACCCAGCTTCTCAAGTTATTTGCTAAGAATAAATATTTAATAGCTATGGAGAGAGGATACAACTCTGACTCACACTTATCCTAATTTTAAACCATGCAGTGTTCCTTTGTTCTATTCAAACAACAGCTTTTTAGCCTATTATGAGCATTATTAAGTGTTTTCTGATATTATCTGCCGTCAGCCAGGGTCCATCTGGTGACATGGCCTTTTCTAAAACTGACTTGAACTTCTGATAGTTGTTTATTAATGTATTGTTCTAACCTTTTTTGGATGATCTTCAGCAATATTTGCTTACATGTGATGTTAATGATATTGTTTGATCATTTCCATATTCTGTTTCATCACCTTTCTTGGAATGGGAACAAATATGGATCTTCTAGTCAGTTAACAGCTGTCTGTCTTCCTCCAAATTTCCTGGCATAGACTGGTGAGCGTGTCCAGGGATGCATCTGTGAGTTAAAAGAAGTCAATTGGTATCCTATCAATTCCTTGGGACTTATTTTTTGTCAAAGCCTTCAGTACAGTTTGAACTACTTCCTGAAATATTTCCATGTTGACCACTTCTTTTTGGTATAGTGACTCTGTATTTCTTCCATCTTCTTTTGATGCTTGCCGGATCACTCAAGATTTTGTCCTTAGTGTCTCTCAGTATTGCTGCTTGAATTTGTTTTTTCAGTTCTTTAAGCTTGAGCAATTGTCTCCCCAGCATTTTTTTAAACTATATCCACCAGTCAAGTAGATTCATAGCAATCCCATGAACAACAAATCTGAACCTAGTCCTCTTCTGCACCATCCTCAAGATTTTGGTCAAGCTCCTGCCCATTGTTACAGTCACTGTGTCAATTCATTTTTCTGATGGTCTTCTTTTCTTTTCTGACACTCCAGTTTCCCAGCATGTCTTTTTTCAAGTGCCCAACGCATGAGGGATGAATGAAGTTTCACTATCCTTACCTCTAAGAAACACCCTGGTTTCACTTTCTCCAAGTCAGACCTGTTCTCTTAGTAGTCCATGGTATTAAATACTCTCCTCTAACATCAAAACTCAAAGAAAGGCATCAGTTATTCTTCTGTTATCCTTATTCACTGTCCAATTTTCAGAGGCATAGACAACAATTGAATTTTTTTTCTCTTATTCGATTTTTATTTCTTTGTGTAATGTACATAAAGTTGTTTATAAAGAACTAGAAAGAAAGAACTTACACAGATGACACAATCTTGCTTGCTGAAACTGAAGAGATTGCTGCAGAAGGTTCAAAATGGATTAAAAGTCAAAATCAAGAAAACAAAGATTGTCAGCACTGGGCCAACTGACAGCACCACGATAGATGCAGAGAGACTGAGAGCTGGACAATGACTAAGGATGACATTAGGATTAAGATGTGGTGCTGGAGAACAGCATTAAATATCCATGGAGTGCCAAGACAATAAACAACAAGTTTTGCCAGGAGAGGATGAAACCAAGTTTCTCCTTGGAGGTATGCTTTGGGCGCGTTGCCAGTAGGGACCAGTCCTTGGAGAAGGACATCCTTCTCAAAGGGTGGAGAGGCAGCGCAGAAGAAAACCTGGTAAGATGAATTGATACAGTAACTTGAGTAATAGGAGTGGGTGTGTGGGAGTCTGTGAGCCTGGCTCAGGACAGGACAGGGTTCAGAGGTATTGTGTGTAGGGTGGCTGTAAGTCGCAGTCGACTCGGAGGTACATAACAACAATGTGCATAAAATTGTTTATAAAGAACTTTAAAAGTAATGATTTAACCTAGAAATGTTAGTTTATGCTCGGGGGAGGTTCGCCTAGAATGGCCTTTGCCCAGAGAAAATTGGAAGCAAAGATTAGCTGTTCGGCCTCAGAAACCTCAGACACTGAAACGGCTTCAGAAAGACCCGGAACTTCGTTCTTCCGGCTCCTTCCAGAGGAGGAGCCAACCCCTCCCTCAAGTTGACCTCTTTCCTCCGCCCCTTTGACTTCTCTGAGCCGCTGCGGGATTTCGCGTCTTCGCGCGAGACCTTCTCCACCTTTGGACCGGAGGTGGTATTCTTCAGTGGTAGCCGGCGGTCTCGTGGTTGAGGTTTGTTCACTAACGCGTTTGTCACAAATTTTAGTTCAGCCAGGAGGCGCTGAGCAGTTGGGGTGCTGGTGCGTGGGTGCGTGGGGAGAGGGTGGGGCGGTCTCCCTGGCTCTGGCCAGCTTTGGGCTGCAGGTGCGCCGCGTGGAGTGACGTTTTCAGGGTTCGGGTCGGATGGGATCAGGATTCAGGGTCGGGGTGAATGATCCCTAGGCTCGGTGTCCTTGTCCAGGACCTTTTGCTGACACGGGAGGAGGCGCGGGCTGCACTGGGAGTCACTAGGGCGAGGCCGCAGGACGGGCTGCTCTGTGGCGGAGAGGTCCTGCCCTGCCCTCCCAGCCTCGCTGGCTCGGGGTCCTGGCGGGGCTTCTTATGGCGGCCAAGCTTGGTGACATGAGGACCGCAGGACTGCAGAAATTGTTCGGTCTTGATCGTGGGAGTTACTGCTTCCAAAGTTACCAAAAGAGGTTGATTAACTTTCCTGCTTCACAAGTCTGCTCTGCCTTATCAGGAACGGAGAAGAGAGTTTGAGATGAGTACATAAGGGATTTCCTTGCCACGCATGATCTTGTGTGCATGTTTAACATATGATGGAGTACATAACAGAACCCGCCAACCAGAACCCGGGGCATATGTAAGTATGGCCCTTCTTTCTATTCTCCTTAATTTAAAAAATGTGAAAGTGGATCTTTGAAAATATTGCTTTACTTACTTTGGGGAGATTATTTTGACATTAAAAGGAAAATTTCAAATGTGCCTATTACGTTACAAAATGGAGTTAAATTTTAATTAGAAAGTTTGTTGTAATAAACACACCCTTAAAAATACTAAATTACCATTTACGTACATCTAGTAGATTGAAGAGAAACTAGTATACAACAGAGGGTTGATTAGATATTGTAATTAATAAGGTGCACTAACCAGTGCTATTACTGTTACAATACCAAATCTATGACTGTGTGAAAAACCTTCACTAAAATGAAATAGTCTATATACATTCTTCTAGATTGTCACCACTTTATATGGTGGCTGTTTTAAGTTTAAATTAATTAAAATGGAATAAAATCCCTCTTTTCTTTAGTTGACTTAGCCAAATTTCAGCTGTTCATTGGCCACATGTGGCTAATTCCTACTGTTTGGATATTGCAGATTAAAGGTCTTTTTGGAGAGCAGTGTCCTACATCCCTGGTTCTGAAACTGTCCTTAGAACACCTTGGGTTTTGATGTTCTCATGAATTGTAGTCAATTAGTAGACATTGACATTCTTCCCTTTCTGTTCATGTATTTTTGTTCTGAGTCAGTGTTTACGTTTTTACAATCCCAGCTCTATTCTGAACCTTTTTTGGATGGGAAGAAGAGGTTCTTTTTGGAATATATTGCTGTCCAAAGATTGGGTTTAGGGAAGCTCTGGTTGCCTAGTGACAAGAAGCTGCACTGCAATCCCAGACTTACAAGTTCCTATCCACCAGATAGATGCTCTGTTGGAGAAAGAGGGGCAGTCGCCTCTTGTACCATTCAGATCCGATTTGATGGTACACACAAAAAAATAATGAAAAATAATAAAGATTGGGTTCAGTTTCTGTTGGTTAGTATTTTATCAGTTTTCCACAGGTAGACTTTTAAAAATGTTCAGCAGAATATTGGTCATAATTACAATAATCCTTTCTAATCTCATAATACCATGTTCCTTGGAGCTATTCAGAAAAAAGGGCATCAAGTAGTTTAAGTAGATAGCATCTGAAAACCAACTGGTGGTTAGCTAAAAGATGGCACTGAGTTGTTACAAACACTGCTATCTGAAAACCAACTGGTGGTTAGCTAAAAGATGGCACTGAGTTGTTACAAACACTGCTGTTAATCACACAGGAAGAGAAATTGTCTTTCAGAGATGCTGGTGGGGTCAAACCTCCTGCCTTTTAATTGGCAGGGCATCTCCTTACCTGCTGGTCCACCAAAGCGTCCTCTTGTGTGATTTACAGCCTCTTAACCACATGAAGGACGGTAAGTTCTGAGTAGTTCTGACTTAATGGTAGTGAGTTTAAGTTTTGATGTTAGTATTTTGAGATGAAATAATTTGATATAAAAGATACTGATTGACCTGTATTCTTGACATAACGATTATCTTAATAGTTTATACCATAAATATACTATTGCTATACTAATCTTGTATTTCTTAGTTTTCCAGTTTTGAAAAAGGGATGATGAATGACAGTGGTATTTTTTTTATTATATTTTCACTTGTGAAACTTACTGTCAGTCTCTTGTTTATTGGTATAGATTAATGTGGATGTTTGTGTCTGCATAGAAAAATGTCTAAAAGGATAGATATAAAAATATTTTTAAATAAGCAGTTAATACTAGTTATGAATTGTAACTAGACATGAGTAGAGATGGTGCAGAGGGTTTTTACATTTATAGGAGCTCGAGTGGCTTAGTTCTTTATGTTTTATACTTAAAAGGTCAGTGGTTTAAATTCACCATCAGCTCTGTTGTAGAAAGATAGACTATCTTCTGTCAAGATTAAGAGCCTCAGAAACCAAATGGAGAGCTGTTATGTATGGGAATTGACTAGACCACAATGAGTTTGGTCTGTTGCTGGAAGTGATCAATGCTCACGCACTAAACGAAAGATTGGGAAAGCCTGGTGATCCACTTACAAAAACTCAGCTATTGAATATCATATGGAACATATTTTCCTCTGACATGTATACATGGGGTCACCATGAGTCAGAATCAACTTGATGGCAAAGATTTTTTTCCCCACGTATTTTTATTGTATTTATATATTTTAAAGTTTAGAAACTAATCTGTGTTTTATTTACTGCCCTGTATTTTGTTTTATAGGAAAGATGTGCTTTAAAGCTTTACTGGCTATTTAAATATAAACTTTGTTTAAATGAAAGAAATAAAGATATTAAGTCATTTTCTTCTTTGTATTCTGCTTATTTATACATTTATGAAATCTAACTTGGAAATTTTTTTTCAATTACTCAAGCTTATGCTGCAATTGTGGTGTCCCAATTAGTCCAAATCCTGCCAATATATGTGTGGCCTGTTTGCGAAGTAAAGTAGACATCAGCCAAGGCATCCCAAAGCAGATTTTTATTTCTTTCTGCAAACAATGTGAAAGGTAAAGTATGTTACTGTTTTATCTTAATTACAGTTGTATTTACATAGCCCTGGTAAGATAGTAGTTAAAAGTGCTCAAGTGCCAGCCAGCATGCCAGTTGGTTTGGACATACCAGAAATTAGGTTTTTTCAGACTCTTGGATTTTAACCTGTCTAGGCCCTCTATGAGGTGGATTGATTCAGTGACTTGGATAATTGGGATGGGAGTGTCAGAGACAGTGCGATTGGCACAGGACAGAGCGGGGTTTAGGGCTATTGTACATAGGGTCACTATGAGTCGCAAGCGACTCGATGGCACATAACAACAACAACAACAAAGGCCTTAGTTTTAGCATTAGATGATAGAGTAAGTTCCTTGAAACTTTGAGAAGTGTCCTTAAAAAAAAAACCCAAAAAAACCCCAAAACACCTTGTATAAGGCTTTTGATTAAACATTTAATGTAATAGTGAAAATAAAACCTTTAACTGTTTAACAAGTATGTTAAAAAAAAATCATTCACATAGCACGTTGGAAGTATTGTTGTTTTTGTTATGTCCCGTCGAGTCGCTTGCGACTCATAGTGACCCTATGTGCAGCAGCCCTAAACCGCGCTCTGTCCTGTGCCAGTCGCATTGCCTCTGACACACCCATCCCGATTACCCCAGTCACTGGATCAATCCACCTCATAGAGGGTCTTCCCCTCCTGTGCTATTGAATATCTGCTATGCACTGAACACTGTACTAAATTCTTAAAATTTTAATTTAGGAAAGTTTTACTAAAGATTTCAAAACAAATTTTGTAATTTAAAATTTCAAGATGAACATATTCAAAAATGTTGCAGAAACAGTGCTGTGAGGTACTAACTTAATGGTTTTTTATGGGAAATAAGCAATTCTCAAGCATTTTAGGGAGTCAGGAGATTGAGTCACCATTGAGAAAATATGCTGTCTAAAGTCCTAGAGAGCAGTGATGTCAGTTTAAAGACTGGTGCATCTGATAGTTTTTCCAGCCACCTGGTATACATCTGAGAGCTAGAGCAGAAATAAGAGTGAATAGAGAAATAGAGCTAGATAACAAATAAGGATGACAGAAGAACTGATGCCTTTAAATTGTGGTATTGGAGAAGAGCACTGAATATCTTGTGGCTGCCAAAAGAGCTAGCAGATCTGTCTTGGAGAAGGTGCAGCCAGAATGCTCCTTAGAGGCAAGGATGGTGAAGCTTCATCTCACATACTTTGGATGTGTTCTGAGGAGAGGCTATACTTGGAAAGGGACATTATCCTTAGAAAGGTGGACTGTGAAAGAAAAGGAAAACTCTCAGCAAGATAGTTTGGTACAATGACTGTGGCAGTGGGCCTAAGCGTATTAAGAATAAGGACAGCTCAGGATAGGACAGTGTTCATACCTGTTTTTCATAGGGTTACTGTAAGTTGTACGTGATTCAGTAGCACCTAACAACAATAATAATATGTTATTTAAGACAAGCTCCTTGAGAAAGAATTATTTGATAAATTTATGTTTATCTGTGCATTGACTGTGCAAAGGCTTGTGACTGTGTGGATCACAACAAATTGTGGCTAATCTTGAGAAGAATGGGGACCCCAATCACTTTATTGTCCTCATGCGAAACCTATACTTGGACCAGGAAGCAGTAGTCTGAACATAGCAGGGAAACTGCATGGTTCAGGATCACTGAAAGGTGTGCATCAGGGATGCATCCTGTCTTCATACTTTTTCAGTCTGTATGCAGAACAGACCATTCGGGAAGCTGGACTTTATGAGGAGGAATGTGTTACCAGGATTGAAGGAAGACTTAATCAGCAACCTGCATTATGCAATTAACATTGCTTGCTGAAACTGAGGAAGACATGAGGTGTTAGCTACAGAAGGTCATGGACTATAGTCTTCAATATGGATTAAAGCTCAACATCAAGGAAACAAAGATTGTCACCAGTTGGCCAATTGGCAGTTTCATGATAGATGGAGAAGAGATTGAGATTGTTAAGAATTTATCAGCTTACTTGGTTTCACAATCAACATTCTTGGTACCAGCAGTCAGGAAATCAAAAGATAAATTGCCCTGGGAAAGTCTGCTGTCAGTGACCTCTCTAGAGTACTGAAAAGCAACAGTGCTGGTCAGGAGACTTAAGTTGTATCTGATACAGTCTATGATTTTCACAGTTACTTGCTATGCATCTGAGAGCTGCACAATAACGAAAGATGATGGAAGAAGGATTGATGCCAATGAGTTGTGGTGCTAGAGAACATTATTTAACGTACCGTGGATTGCCAGGAGAACAAATAGGTCTATCCTAGAGAGGGTGAAACCAAACTGGTCCCTGGAGGCAAAGATTTTGAAGATCTGTCTCACATACTTTGGGTAGTGATCAGGAGGGACCAGTCCTTGAAGAAGGACATCAGGGTGCAGGAATAGTGCAGAAAAGGAAGACCCGGAATAAGATGGATTGACTCACTGACTGGAGATATGGGACAAGGTCTATCGGAGACAAGATTGGCTCAGGATGGGGCATAGTTCAGAGCTAATGTACATAGGGTCGCTAAGAGTTGCAGGCAACCTGATGACACATAACTATTGTTTCAGAAAGCAAGTTCATTTTAAATAAAGCTGCTATTCTGAGTTGGAGCTCAGGTGGCATGGTGTTTATTCAGTTGTTCTGATCACCCAATTGTGGTTCTACTCTAGCAACTTCACCAGCTACTCTAAGGGAGAAAGTTAGACAGTTTCTTCGTGTTCAATTTATAGGCTTGGAAAACCTACTAGAGAGTCAGCTATGGGTTGGTGCCAGCTAGATGGTAATCATTCTTTGCTTTATGAGCTATTTTGATTAAATGCTTTCTGGAACTAGTGAAATGTATTTGGGTTAAGGATTTGAGATTAACTTTGACTACTGTTTGAATTTTGTATCAGTGTTAGAGGTACATATTCAAATGGAAATTTCTGTTTTTTTTGCTGAGAAATAATTGAATTTATATTTACTGTCTTTGCTGTTAGGTATTTTCAGCCACCAGCAACTTGGATACAGTGTGCTGTAGAATCCAGGGAACTTCTTGCTTTGTGTTTGAAAAAACTGAAAACACCTTTGAGTAAGGTAGGTCAGATAGCTAAAATTGATTTTTGTATGTGTGCTTTTACTAATATTCTAGTTTTCATACAATCTATAGTGAATAGATTTTCTATTTTTAGTTTTTAAACTACTTTGGAAGGATAATCTTTGAACCTGTTGCTTGATGTCAATAAATAAATATCTCCAGTAAGCAAAACAATTTGTTCTAAATCCCATTTATTTCTTGACATAAACTATCACACACTTCTCCCAGGTATGCTTTTACTTGAAATAGACTGAGTCTGAAGGCTTTTCAAACTTTTTTCAAGTGTTGACAAAATTTCATGTAATCGTTCTTAGGAAATGTTCCTTTTATTCTTTTCTCCTCCTGGAATTTCTTTTAGATTGAGCATTCTTTGGTGGCTGACACGTTGTTCACTACCAGTACAGTTTACTTTAGTTTACTTTACATTAGTATGTTTTAGAAGAGCCTATAACATCTGATTTCTTTTCAGATCTTTGATCTCATTGCTCCTACATCCATTGGCAATTTGCACACTTGTTCTAGCCACACTGAGCTGTGTTTAGTTCCTCCCAAGTATATAACTGATTTTGGCCTTGAGTTTGTTTACTGAATTGCTATTGTGAGTTCAGTATTAAGTGCATGAGACTCTTTGACAAGTATCAAGGAGTCAAGAAAAAAGAAAATGACACATACTTAATAAAAGACAATAAACCATGTGAAAGCTTTTTGTTTATTTTTAATAGGTCTTTGCTTTCTTTAAAGAAATACTACCTACATCCAAAGAGCAGTATGCTTTTTAAGAGAAAAGAATTTCTTAATGCCTGTGAACAATTTACTTTATGGATGTGTATTATATTAATTACATATTTGTATTTTATTTGTTTTTATTGCTGCTATATTTTTTATGATGAATCTTTGATTATGGTACTGTGCATTGTTGCTAATCCTAAATTCATTAAGCATCTTAAGAAATCTGTTGTTGAATTATGCTCTCATATTTTTTTTTCAAGTGGGAGCTTAACGTTTTTTTTTGTTTGTGTTCTGTTGAAGGTACGGCTTGTCGATGCAAGTTTTGTTTGGACTGAACCCCATTCTAAGAGACTTAAAGTTAAACTCACTATTCAGAAAGAGGTAAGCATTATGACATTCCCTCAAGCTGGCTAAAATGTAAGTTAAAATAGGAAAAGCCTAGTACTTATTTTATGACTCAATCAAAAACTCATTGCTAGTGAATTGAAACCAGCTTCTCTGTGACCCTTCAGCAAGTTTCCAGAGGCTGTCAGTCACACAGGAAGAGATTGCTTGTCTCAGTCCAGAAGAGCAGCTAATGGATTTGAATTGCTTGCCTTTAGTGCAACCCTTATCCACCAGGCTATGACTAGAACAGGTTGAAAGGAGGAAAAATATAGACTTCATTTTTAGCCCCTATTTTCTTTTTTATCTCTACACAAATGATGATGAGATCAGTAGGAAGAACAGCCATTGCTAATTTAAGTGGACTTAGGTAATCTTTCTGATACTATTTACATTAGGTAAAAGACTGAAGTAATTTATATAAGTTAAAGCACTGATTACAAAACTTGTTGGTTATCATAATATATGGTAACTGATTCAAGATTTCTTTTTGAGTGTGAGACTCAGGAATCTGTATTTAAAAAGCTTCTCAGTGACTTCTGATAGTTGACAAGGCTTGAAAAATGTTAAAGGATGTCTTCTTTTTTGAAAGTCATAGTTGTCTTCCCCTAAGGATGAATGCATTTTATTGAGCCAGAGTAGTAGATTATGTAATGGGCTACTAATAAAAAAAATCATTTATTAAAAAAATCATTTATTTGAATCTCCCAGCTATTCTGAAGGAGAAAGATGAGATTGTCACTTTTATGATTTACAGATGGAAGGAAGGGTCGCTAAAAGTCAGAATAGACTCAGTGGCAGTAAATTTTTGTAGAAGTATATGAATACATATATGTAAGTATCTAGGGAGATATATATGTATGTATGTATATCCATATATTTAGAAATAATATTACATGTTTAATATACATATACACACGTGCATATCTCTATGTAGGGAGCTCTGGTGGCTTATTGTGTAAGGAACTGTGCTGCCATCCCTGAGGCAGGCAGTTCAAATCCACTAGCTGCTCCAAGGGAGAAAGATTTCCAAGCTCTTCCCATTTTTGTGTGATTTACAGCCTCTGAAAACCTGCTGGTGAGCCATCTATGAGTCCAACCTGGTGGGAATAATTGAGTGGGGGGTGTGTGTGTGTGTAACTGTAATCAAAGAATATTAGTATAATAGACTCTAGGATTTAAATAACTTGTACGTTTCTTGAAATCATGTTTTTTTTTTTCAGTTGCCTTTACATTTAATGACTGATTTATTATTGATGTTTTCAAAGGATTAATGAGGAAAGATTTCAACTTAAATATTAAGACTTCTATTAAGAGCACTATTTATTACTTGACAGAATTGAGCAAATGAAGAACTGTAATTATCTTCTTTATCAGGTGATGAATGGTGCTATCCTCCAGCAAGTGTTTGTGGTGGATTATGTTGTCCAATCTCAAATGTGTGGAGATTGTCATAGAGTAGAAGCTAAGGATTTCTGGAAGGCTATTGTTCAAGTGAGGCAAAAGGTAACGAGAGGAGGGTCATTGGTGAATTATTTTTAATGTATTTACTTTTTATCAGATATAAACAATTAAATTATTTCCTTTTCCTTTACAAGTCTCAGAAACACCAGGGGTAGATTGGTTTCTGGAGCTTTAACTTCGGGAAATTGCTTGAAGTTGCATTCTTTTGTTTTAAATATTAATGAACTATATCTATTGATGGTATAGCTTTTTTGTTTTTTTCTGCGTTTTATCTATTCTAATGATGTGTTCATATTTAGACCTTGCATAAAAAAACTTTCTACTACCTGGAACAGTTGATTTTGAAATATGGAGTACATCAGAACACACTTCGTATCAAAGAGATTCATGGTGAGTGAAAAACTATAAGTGTTTGAAATTATGTAAAAATTGTTTCAGCTTGACCACATATGCTTTTGTCTTTAGTAATAATCTCTGGAATAGTATTGTCCTAAATAACTTTTTTTCAGAGATGAAAACTATTTTAGTTCTCTATTGAAACTGTCTAATATGGTATCCATGAGCCACTTGAGGCTCTTGAGCTTTTGACATATGGCAGTATAATTGGGAAATGAAATTTTTAGTTAAAATGCATATCTAAATTGCCGCCCATGGCTAATATCTACTGTGTTAGCTAGCATATATCTCAAACTAAGATTTCTAAGATTTTTTTTTTCACTTGAAGTCCCTGCACCTCACCCAAATTTAGACTATTCTTGTACTTGACATCTAAGTTTTAGTAGTTCTTGCACTTACCTGTTGGAATAGCCAGATGAGTAAGCCGTTGACTACATTAACAGTATGAAATGCAGTTTAAGAAGATTAATCTGAGACTTATTTTATGCAGGGATCAGTTTCAATTAGAAGAAAATAAGTATTTTGGAGCTGTAAGTTCTTCATTTTCCGACAAGTTTTCATGATGAATGATTCAGTTCAGAACCGTAAATTAAATAAAAACAACTTGGATCCACAATCAATACTCCTGGAACCAGCAATCAGGAGATCAGGAGATGTATTGCACTGGGAAAGTCTGTAGTCAGGGACCTCTCCAAATTATTGAGGGGCAGTGATGTCAGTTTGAGGCCTAAGGTGTGCCTGAATCAGGACATGGTCTTATTAGTCACTTGGTATTCATCTGACAGCTGGACAGGATGATGGAATAATTGATGCATTTGAAACGTTGTGTTGGAGAAGAACTGCCAAAAGAGCAAACAGAAGGTGCAGCTAGTGTGTTGCTTAGAGGCAAGGATGACAAAGCTTCATTTCACATATTTTGGACATGTTGCTAGGAGAGGCTGATCCTTGGAAAGGAACATCATACTTTTGAAAGGTTACTAAAGAGAGACCCTCAGCCAGATGGATTGACAGTGACAGCTGTAGTGTGCTTGAATATGTCAGAGATGGTAAGGATGGCACAGGATAGAACAGGGTTGACATCTGTTCTTAGGGTTGCTTTGAATCATATGTAACTTAATGATACTTAGCAACAATAACATACTGATAATTAGATTTCTTGAATATGGAATTTTAAAATTTTTGCGTAATTTCATAGTGGCTCATTAGGACTTATTCTTTCTTAGCATTTAATATTCAGCTGGCATATATCTTTATGTATATTAGATGCTAGAAAAATGTTTATATAATATTATAAAACAAACATCCTTTGGCAAATTCCAGTCTCTTGCTACAAGTTAGTGTTCTGTGAAATTGTGCTTGTTACTTGTAAATATACTTTTGTTTTCTTTGTTTCTTTCCAAAGTACGTGTTTTGAGATAGCCATTCTTGATTAAAATCCAGATTAAGTTAAACTCGTTATTTTAAATGATGGATTTCACTGATATGTATCAGTCTGTTACTTATTTTTCATATCTTGAGAAAAGTGCATAGAAATTGTCTTGACTGAATATGGTGACCTTTGCATCTAAGGTAAGTGCATAACTGTTATTGTTGTTGTTAAGTGCTGTCAAGTCACAGGCGACTCATAGCAACCCTATGAAGGAGAGTCCTCAACACTGTGTGTGTCTCATCCTCTCTCTAGGTTCATAGGGTTTCCGGAGGCAAGCTATTATGGAAGTAGATGCTGCTCCTTCCAAGCTTGTTTTATTCAGGAAGTTTCACCCATCACTGTCCACTATGGGTAACCAACCATTAACACATTTGACACATCAGCGTCACAGTGCAGCCTCACAGCAACCACAGGTTACTGCTGTACAGCAAGTGGACACACCAGGGCACGACCTAGAGGAATAAGTGCATAACTAGAGTAATACAAATAAGTCTACAGGAACCAAGATAAGATCTTGAATCAATTCCATGAGAATTTCATGGTTATCAGCAAAGTTTGAAGCATTGAACACCAATGATTCAAGACCGGATGAGTTATGGGATGATATCAAGGATATCATCCATATAGAAAGCAGAAGGTTGTTAACAAAAACAGGAGAAAGGATAAAAACTCACACTGGATATCAGAAGAGACTCCAAAGTTTGCATGGGAGCGTTGAGAAGCAAAAACCAAAAGAAAACATGTCAAAGTGAAAGAGCTGAACAGATGATTTCAAAGGACAACTCAGGAGGACAAAGTCAAGTATTATAATGGAATGAGCAGAGAGCTGAAATTGGAGAATAAAAGGGAAGAACTTGCTCTGCATTTCTTAAGCTGAAAGAACTGAAAAACAAATTTAAGCATTGTGTTGCATATTAAAAGATGCTATGGACATCTTTGAATGATCCAGAAAGCATCAAAAGAAGATGGAGGGAATACATAGAGTCACTGTACCAGAAAGAATTGATTGACACTGAAAAATATCAGGTAGTACTATACAAACAGGAGTCAATAGTAGTGAAGGAGGAAGTAAAAACTGAATTGAAGGCATTGGCATAAAATCCCAGGAATCAGTGGGACCAGTTGACTTGTTTCAGTTTACAGATGCAGCCTTGGATGTGCTCACCAGTCTATGCAAGGAAATTTTGAGGATAGCTGTCTAGGCAACAGAAGAGATCCATATTTATTCCCATTCCCAAGAAAGTTATCCAACTGAATGTGGAAATTACGAAACAATAAATGATAACACATGAAAGCAAATTATTGCTGAGGATCATTCAGAAATGGCTAGAACAGTACAAAGATAGGGAACTGCCAGAAGTTCAAGCAGAATTTAGAAGAGGTCTTAGCACACCAAAGATACCATTGCTGATGCCAGATGGATGGCTGGAAATAGAGAATACCAGATGAATGTATATTTGTGCTTTATTGACTGTGCAAAGGCATTTGACTGTGTGGATTATAAATTGTGGCTGACATTGAGAAGAATGGGAATCCCAAAGCACTTGATTTTGCTCATGCGGAACCTATACCTGGACCAGGAGGCTGTTGTAGCGAACAGAGCAGGGGAGTTGGAGTTGGGAAAAGAGTGTATCTGGGTTGTATTCTCTCTCCATACCTATTCAGGCTGTATGGTGACCAAATTATTGGAGAAGCTGGACTCTTTGAGAAGGAGTGTGGCATCAAGATTGGAGGGACACTCATCAAAACCTGTGTTATGCAGATGGCACAACCTTGCTTGCTGAAAATGAGGAGGATTGGAAGCACTTGTTATAGAAGATCAAGGAATGCAGCCTTTGGTGTGAACTGGATCTCAGTATCAGGAAGACAGATTTTTACCACTGGCACCGTGATGGTTGGAGAGGAGATTGAAACTGTCAGCAACTTCATCTTGCTTTGATCCTCAATTAACACTCTTGGTACCAGCAGTCAGGAAACAAGGAGACACATTGCACTAGGAAATCTGCAGTAAGGGACTTCTCCAAATTGTTGAGAAGGAATGATGTAAATTTGAGGACTAAGTAAGATGTGTCTGATTCAGGCCATTGCCATTCAGATTACTAGCTATGCATCTGAGATCCAGACAGTGAATAAGAATGACAGGAAAAGAATTAATGTCTTTGAGCTGTGATGTTGGAGAAGAGCACTGAACCACATGGATGGCCTAAAGAACAAACAGCTGTGTTTTGGAGAGGGTGCAGCTGGAGTACTCTTTGGAGGCAAGAATGATGAGGCATGTTGCTAGGAGGTGCTGTTCCTTGAAGAGGGTCATGATTTGGGAAAGGGTGGAGGGTCCGTGAAGGAGGAATACTCTGAACCAGGTTGAGGGCCATAGTGCGCTCTTGTGTGTCAGGAAGTGGGAGGATGGCACAGGCTAGAACAGGGTTCAGATCTTTTGTTCATAGGGGTCACTATGAGTCATACTTGATTTGATGGCACCAAATAACAATTGTATGCAAAGGTTCAAGAGACTAAATCATTGACATTTAGTCTGCCACTTCACTACTCTCATGTTGATTCTGACTCATAGTAACCCCATAGGACATAGTAGCACTGCCTTGGAAACTCTTTGAAACATTTCTCCTGACTTGTAGGGTTGCTGTGAGTCAAAAACACCTCAACAGCGGTGAATCTGTATTCTTTAGTGGTGGTGGTTGTTTGCTGTCAAGTCAGAACTGACTCATACCTGGCCCTCCAGTGGATTTTTGGAGACAGTAAATCACATGGGGAGGAGATTGTCCATCCTTTTCCCGTGAAGCAGCTGTCGGATTCGAACTGTGTTTGTTTTGGATTGCAGCACAGCTTCTTCTCACTAGGCCAGCAGAGCGCCCATTAATTTGTTTTAGCTATTTTTTTAATTGGATTATCCTTCTTGGTATTTATAATAAATAAATATGGTGTTTATATAAATAATTTGTGAATATTTTCCCATGGTTTGTAGCTTGTCTTTTTTATTCTTTTTTTGAAATGACTTCTAAATTACAAAGGATTTACATTTATCAAGTACAATTTATCAGCTTTTCTCCTTTTATCAGTCATTGCTACCGTTTTTGACTAACTCTTTAACTCAGATCATTATGGTTTTCTTCTGTGGATTCTTTTCGGAAGTTTTAATTTTAGCTCTTAAACTTAGGTCTGTTGTATTGACATGTATCTTTATACCAGTAATACTGCCTATATTATCTTATATTGCTTTGAAATTGGGAGGAATTTATTTTTATATTTGTAATTTGCTGAGCTACTTGTAAAACTTTCTTAAACTACTTCTTAGCAGATAGGCTTGTTTTTACTTTTATTTTTCTTTCTGATTTTTATTGCACTGATTTATGATTGGATAGTGAATACTATTTCTAGTAATTTCTACCCTTTAAAATTTATTGAATATTCTTGGTACATGATGATTTTAGGAATGGTATATGAATATGTAAAAGTAATTGTGTGTTCTTTCTTGGTAAGTGTGCTAAAAATAACTTGATTAGGTCTACTTTAATAGTTGAATTCAAGTCCTCTATATTACTGTCTTTGTCCATTTAATTCTGTTTTGAGAGAAACTTGTTTCCTACAATTATAACACATTTGTTATTTTTTCCTTTTTTAATAATATGGTTAATTTGTTTCAGTGTTATGTTATTATTATATTCTCTTTTTGGCGGATTGTTCTAGTTATATAAAATGGTCTCTTGTTCTTTTTGATATTTTTCTTCCCTTTTTTCTCTGAATTTGAATATTATTAACAGTCTTAATCTGTTGTTAGCATTTGTCCTTTCAACAAATGAGTCTTAAGTGATGTCACTAATCAGATGTGACTATACTACATTACATATTGTTTAATAAGGATTTAGTTTGATGTGCTGGTAGGGAAAATCTTATATTGAGGTTATTTTCATGTGGAATTGTTTATTTTTTGTGTTTTTTTTGTTTATTTTGTTTTTTAAAAAGATGGACTGGATTTTTATTATTCTTCAAAACAGCATGCTCAGAAGATGGTAGAATTTCTTCAGTGTACAGTTCCCTGCAGGTATGTTCTGAACCTTTTGAGTTCTTTCTGATCCTGAAATAACTAAACTCAAGGAACTAGAAATTGATGTAGGTAATACCTTTTAATCTTCAGGCTTAGGCAACATTTCTTGTGTTAACACATTGCTTCACACTTTTTAAATTGACGACCGTGCTTAGAAACGCATTTGCCGTCATTTGTGGCAACATGCTAAAGTACTTGAATGTAATTGGAGTTTTAATACAACCAGTGTTTCATTTAGTAGCAGAAAAAATGTATTGTTTGAGTTTGTTGTTTTGTGGAGTTTTTTGTTTTTGTTTTTTTAGTAGCTCCTTACCACCAGGTAAAGAGTTGTACTACCAACCCAAAGGAGGTGGTTCAAATCTACCAGCAAATCTTTGTATAAAAGATGAGCATTCTTCTCTGTGATTTATAACCTCTGAAAACCAATTCAGACTGCTAATGGTAGTAGTACTGTAGTGCGGAGCCATTGATTATGTTTAAATGAAAAGAGAAAGGAAAGGTAAGGGTAGAGTGTTTTGAGGAGAGGCTTCATGGAGTGTGTGGAAGACTTTGGCTCCAAAAATAGATGACGTTTTCATAAGTGGGCCTTTAAAAAATTATTTTATTAATATTTTTAGTGTGTCTACCATCAAATCTGATCTGACTGGTACAGGAGGAGATTGTCCCTCTTTTTCCAACAGAGCATCTGGTGGATTTGAACCGCTCACCTCTGGGATTGCAGTTGCAGCTCCTTACCACTAGGCTACCAGCGCTTGCCTTAAGTTGGCTTTTTATTGAAAGATGAAGAGGTCATTGTGAACAAAGACTGTGGCTTTTAATGAACTTTCATGTAGACTGGGTTGGTCTTAGCCATGGCCATGTTTTGTAGGTTTTTGGTAGTAAGGTTAATTGGTAAGGTGTAGTCAGCTTAGTCAAAGTTTTGGAACGCAAGTGGCTGGAATTAGGCTTCCTCAGGGTCATGTAGTATAAAGATGGCACCTTACTGACAGTTTGAATCTACCAGCGACTCTATGAGAAGATGAGGGGTAATCTTCTCCATGATTTACAGCCTCTGAAAATCTCTTGGAAGTTCTGATTCCGCAGCAATGAGTTTGAGGGACTTTTTTCTTATTGCAGGCATTAGCAAGCCATTTCAGGCATTGGATGGTGATTATTTGATGAAAAACAAATATTCTCAGACAAAAGTAAAGATTTCGTCTTTAAATTACTATTAACTTTTTTTCTTACTAGATGCAAAGCATCCCAGAGATTGATCTCTCAGGATATTCATAGTAACACTTACAATTACAAAAGCACTTTTTCTGTGGAGATTGTTCCAATATGCAAGGTACTTTTTCTCATTTAATTAAACTATCTAAATAGTATAAGTAATTAAATGGTTTATATATAATTACTTTTCTGATTTCCTTCTGAGGTTGGGTAAAAATTAAAAATAATTTCCTTCTTAGAAGATTTTATTATACATTTAGCCAGCTATCAAGGTTATTAAGAAGGTATAAAAAAGTAATTATATTTACAATTTATAAATTAGCATGCCTTTCATTTTTATATATTAGAATGAAAAGAAATGTTTGAAGTTTTTAAAGGTTAGTATTTCTTTAAATTTATTAACCTAGTCTGGAAGTCGGCAGCCACCCCGGCCATCATACCTGTACCTATGACAGGGCAGTTAGAAACACTTTTCTGTGGTTCTTGGCAACTTGATGGTGAGGGAAAACAAAGGTATGCTGTGCTACAACCAGGGCTGAGGCCAACGCTTTGATCCCGAAACCAGTTCAGACAATGCTTACACTTACCATCAAGGGGTTCCAGTGTTTCATGATACATTGAAGGGTTGGTCTTGCTGTAAGAGAAAACCCACTGATTTTTCTGACTTCTTAAGCATTACAGGCCATACCAAGGGTAGACATAATAGTGAGAAACCACTTGAGCCAGTAAAACCTGAAGTCAAGACCACTGAGAAGAAAGAATTATCAGAATTGAAACTCAGATTTCAAAAATACATCATTCAAGCCCCTAAACCAATAGAAGCCATTAAAAGACCAAGCCCAGATGAGCCAGTGACAAATTTGGAATGAAAAATATCTGCCTCCCTCAAACAAGCACTTGATAACTGACATCCAGAGAAGAAGAAAGTGGTGAAATTAAGATTGGGATCTCATGTAAAAATGGAGGCTGTTCAAAGACATACCAGTGTCTAGGCAGTCTAGAAGAAACCTGTATATATCATTCTGGAGTACCTAGTTTCCATGAAGGGATGAAATACTGGAGCTATTGTAGGAGAAAAACTTCTGATTTAATACATTTTTAGCCCAAGAGGGATGTACAACTGGGAAACACATGTTGATTAAAAATAATCCAGGGGAGAGGAGGGAGAGTTATTCCGTGTAGACATGACTGGCATCAGACTGGGTGAAGTCACCGTTACAATATATGCTAAAAATTGACTTCCAGAATTTAGTCGAGTAGAAGGAAACAGTGCGTTGTTAAAATGTGCTCGTTTTATTTGAAGCAGAGAAAGAATTTCATCAAAATGTGAAATTATGGAGTGTGATTGATGTGAATCAAAGCTATGTTATTATGACTGCCACAAAGATTGAGATTACCATGAGAAAAGCTGAACCTATGCAGTGGGCAAACCTTGAATAACCCACAGCTAGAAAGCCTGAAAAACAGAAAATAGAAGAGATTGAATGGGAGGTGGAACATAATATGTCTCAGAATTCTTGATTCATGTGCTAAAGTAATAGCTTGCTGCTGTAAATTTTTTTGTTGTTTTAGTCTGGCATTTCAGGGTCAGCAGTAGATTCTTAAAAACCAAAGTCGGATCTTTTCACGCCCCTTCCCCGCCCCCATTGTTTCTTCTAATTTACATAATACCTTATTAACATAGTTACATTATTTTTTTGTATAAACAAAGAATGTGTTTGGTTTTGTTCACAAATCTTTAACAACTCATAATTAGTAAAAGAAGTAGAATGTCACGTATTTGGAAATTTTTTTTCATGGATTTTTGTTTCTATAATACTTGAAAATCTTTAAGGAAAAGATAAAGCTCTCTATTCTTTTTACCCAATTTGGACAGTTACATTCTCTAGGAAGATTCTAAAATAGTATAATAAGTAAAGGGAAATATATGCATTAGTTAAAATTAATTTACCACTAATTTAAAAGTTATATGAGTAACCTCAGTTACATGCCAAGCAGTATAAAAGGCATTGTAATTAGAAATACAGTATAGCAATTTAGCTAACATTCACTGTTGTATAAGACTAAGCAATAATGTTCAACATCTCATTGGTCTTGTGTGGTGTTAAAAACTAAATTATACCTGATTTACAACCTATATCTTCTTATTAAATTTTTTAATTTGTTAACATAACTAAAAAGAAATTCCATCTGGCTACAATGATGGGGGAAAAAACCCCTGCAGACATATAAAGTCTTTTGGAAATACATTAAGAGTTTCAGAAAACTATGTAAGCTTTTTGCTTGATAACAACTACATTATCTATTGTTTCCTTCTTTTGGAGTCTGTTTTTGTTTTGTTTTTTAAGGATTTCATGAAAATTATGTCACTTAGATGGTAACATTTTGAATATATATGTACGAAATCTGGGTGTCAAAGAATTAGGTTATTTAAGCTGGTAGACAGGTTATTTTTTGAAGCAGTACAGAATTCAAGAAGAAAATTAAAATTAAGAAATGTAATGGATGCCGTAACTGTCAGGCATGAATTATGCTTATATGAATTAAACTTAAAAATACACAAAAAAATTTATTAGTCTAGTAGATACATGATAATTACACAGAATTTTGAATATAGGAAATGACATTAAAATTAGTATTAGGTAGTCATTTTGTGAAAAATACCGACTGGAATATGGAAAATGAAAATAAATAATTATCACAGAAATGAAATCAGAATCATTTTTATGATTTAAAGCATAATCTAAATAATGTGCAAAATGTAAATTATTCATTCCTTTAATTGTGGTAAAGTAAAAACTGCTTCATATATGTTGTTACTATGTTCATCGAGTTGCCTGTGACTCATAGCAACCCTATGTACAACAACCCTAAACCCTGTTCTATCCTGTGCCAATCTATTGTTTCTTACACACCTACCCCCAATATCCTAGTCACTGAATCAATCCATCTCATTGAGAGTCTTTCTCTCTCATGCTATTCCTCTACCCTCCCAAGCTTTATGTCCCTGTCAGAGGACTGATTGTGCCTTACAGCATGTCCAAAGTATGTCAGACAGAGCTTCAGAATCTTTGCCTCCAAGGAGCAGCCTGGTCTCACTAGGACAAACTTGTTTGTTCTCCTAGCAATCCATGGCATATTCAGTACTCTTCTCCAGCACCACAGCTCAAAGACATCAATTCTCCTTCTGTCATCCCTAATTATTGTCCATTTTTCTGATTCATAGCAAGTAATTGCAAAAACTGTGGCTGGGATCAGGCATACTTTAGTCTCCAGACTGACATTCTTGCTCTTTAATATTTTCATGATGTTTCTGACAGTAGACTTTCCCAGTGCAATTCGTCTTTAATTTCTGGCTGCTGGTAGCAAGAGTGCTAATTGTAGAGCCAAGCAAACTAAAGCTATTAATGATCTCAGTCTCTTCGTCATTTATCATGATGTTGCCAGTCAGCTCGGGTGAGAATATTTGTTTTCTTGATGATGAGCTTCAATCCATATTGAAGGCTGCATGCAGTCCTTGACCTTTTGCAGCAAGTGCTTCAGGTCCTCAATTTCAACAAGCAGGGTTATGCCATCTGCATATGCCTAAGATAGATTGTTGATGAGTCTTCCTCCAGTCCTGCTCATTAGTATTCAAGGCCTCAGAACTGTTCCTGAGATGGTTTTGAAATTCAGGTGGGATAGACTCAAGGTCACGTTTTGGTTCCTATAGATTTGATTTAATTTTCCTTAGCTTGAACTCACATATGGTTAGTTGGTGGTCTGTTGCATAGTCAGAACCTAACCTAGTTTACAGAGCTGATTTTGAGCTGCTCCAGTGATTCTTATGCATACCATCAAGTGAAATCACTTGTCAAGTATAGGGACAACACTGAATCTATTGGTTATTTCGGCTCTTTTCCGTAAATGCTGTCTGTCTGATACTGTTCTCAACCAGAGCATGCAAATTAAGACAGACAAGGAAGGAGGATTGGCCATTCACTTGTGAAATAATCAGGCCTTTGAAAACCCCATGTTCAATAGAACACATTTAGACTAGCAGATAGAGCAACTGAGGCTGAGTCCTCAAGTATGGAAGCACAAAGGAGGAGGAACAGTTTTAAGGAGATACTAGTGATTGAAACATGGTGTGAAAACTCTAAATGTAGGAAAATTGGATATTGTTAAGAAAGAAATGGAACACATAAATATTGACAGACTCGACGGCACATAACAACAACAAAAACATGTATTGGCAAAATGAGATGGACTGTCCTAGGACATTTTGAATCAGATGGTCTACTATGCTGGAGATAAAAAGGTGAGGGGAAATGGTGTTTGCTATCATAGTTAAAAAAAATTTTCTAGATCTGTCTTGAAATACAATGTTGTGAGTGATAGGATCATATCCATAAGCATACAAGGAAGTCAAGTGAATACCACTATCATTCAAACATACACAGCAACAACCAGATCCAAAAGGAGGAAATAGAAAAATTTCTACCTACATTTGCAGACAGAGATCCATCAAACAGGCAGTCAAGATGCATTCATAATAATGGGTAATTGGAATGCAAAAGTTGGGAACAGAGATCAGTAGTTGGAAAACATGGTCTTGGTGACAGAAAATCAAGTTGGAGGTAGAATGATACAATTTTGCACAGTCAGTGATTTATTTATTGCAAATACATTTTATAAGAAACAAGCACAGTCTATACACATGGATTTCACCTGATGGTATGCACAGGAATCAGATTGATTCATAGGTGGAAGAAACTGTTGGAGAAGCTCAGTATCAGCTATGAAAGCTAGGCCAGGTGCTGATTGTGGAACAGACAACAAACTACTCATATGCAGGTTCAAGCTGAAGCTAAAGAAAATTAAATTCATGGGAACCAAAACAAGACCTTGAATCTATCCCACATGAATTTCAAAACCATCTCAGGAACAGGTTTGAGGCCTGAATACCAATGAGATGTCTTCATTTTAATAGAATTTATGAACAGATAATTGCATACTGGTTAATACCTCCTAATGTGTATCAGCATTATTTTTTGGGCACTAAATCTTTGATTCCATGTCAGCACAGGTAGCTGTGTAAGAGAGTTACTTTATTCTTTTGAATTTTTTTTTAAAGTGGAGATTAGAAAAAGAGCCATCCAGTAGATATAGAATATCACTCTTCTATTGATATTTATAGTACTTGGGTTAGAATGTACACTGTATTAACTTACACTATTGGATTAACTCTGAAAGAAGATATTTTTAAAAGCATTTTTTATTAAATATCCCATGTATAAGAAAGTACAAATTACTTTCTCTGACTCTTAAGCTCTGACTCCTCTCTTTGATCTTTTTCTGACATGTAAAATTAAAAATAACTAATTTTGGCAAATAACTAATTTGGGTTTAGCTGGGGTCGTGGTACTAGGGATATTGTAGCTGATCTTAGATGGATCTTAGCTGAAAACAGAGAATACCAGAGGAATGTCTATCTGTGTTTCATTGACTATGCAAAGGCATTTGACTGTGTGGATCATAACAAACTGTGACTGACTCTGAGAAGAATGGGAATCCCAGAACACTTGATCGTTCTAATGCGAAACCTATACTTGGACCAGGTGGCAGTAGTCAGAACAGAGCAAGGAAATACTGTATGGTTCAAAATTGGGAAGGGCGTATGCCAGGGATGCATCCTATCTCCAAACCTTTTCAACCTATATGCAGAACAGATTATCTGGGAGGTTGGGCTCTATGAGGAGAAATGTGGGGTCAAGATTGGTGGAGGATTTATCAACAGTCTGCGTTATGCAAATGACACAACCCTGCTTGCTGAAACTGAGGAGGACCTGAAGCACTTGCTGCAGAGGGTCAAGGACTGCAGCCTCCAATGTGGATTGAGGCTCAATGTCAAGAAGACAAAGATTCTCACCACTGGACCAATTGGCAGCATCAGGATGGATGGCGAAGGGATTGAGATTGTTCACAGCTTTAGTTTGCTTGTCTCCACCCACAGTCAACACTCTTGACACCAGCAGCCAGGAAATTAAAAGGCGCATTGCCATGGGAATGTCTGCTGTTAGGGACCTCTCCAAAGTACTGAAGAGCAATGGTGTTTCTCTGGAGACTAAGGTGCGTCTGATACAGGCCATGGTCTTCGCAATCACTAGTTTTGCATCAGAGAGTTGGACAGTGACTAAGGAGGATAGAAGGAGAATTGATGCCTTTGAGCTGTAATGCTGGAGAAGAATATTGAGAGTACCATGGATGCTAGGAAAACAAACAGATTCATCCTGGAAAAGGTTAAACCAGGTGGCTCCTTGGAGGCAAGGATTCTGAAATCCCATCTAACATACTTTGGACATGTTGTGAGGAGAGACCGGTCCTTGGAGAAGGACATCATGCTTGGGAGGGTGGAGGGACAGCAGCGCAGGAGGGGAAGGCCCTCTATGAGGTGGATTGATTCAATGACTGGAATAATCGGGATGGGAGTGTCAGAGACAGTGCGATTGGCACAGGACAGAGTAGATTTTAGGGTTGTTGTACATAGGGTCGCTATGAGTTGCAAGTGACTCGAAGGCACATAACAACAACAAATTTTGGCAAATGCGATTGGACCAGATTTATGCTGGTGAATATTTATTGGGCACTCTTACTTGGGAGGAGCCGTGGTGGGGCAGTGGTTAAAATGCCACCCCACAAAGTTGCTTTCTCTTTTAAATGTTGTTTCTTATTCCTAGGATAATGTTGTCTGTCTGTCTCCAAAACTGGCACAAGGCCTGGGAAATATGAACCAAATTTGTGTGTGTATTCGAGTAACCAGTGCCATTCACCTCTTAGATCCCAACACTCTCCAAGGTAAGTTTTGAACTATTATGAAACAAAAGGTAATAATTTATGTGGTTAATTTTATCAAATGTTGACAACAATGTTGTTTTGAAAAACTTAAGTTTTTTATATTGTTAATATACTTGGCTGTATTTTCTTGACCTTTTTCATATATTTAAAAATGTGTTCTTTTTGTTATTGTTGAGATTTTCCAGAGAGTTTTCATTACCCATATAAGCTGAAATTATAAAAAACTGTTTATAGTATTTAATAATTTTATGGAGTTGACATTCACTATCAGTTAGAATACAGCTAAGGAAATGAATAGACTGACATCGTTGCTTCTCAGTTCTCTGGAAAGGTTCCCTGACAGCAGATTTACCGAATGCAGTGCATCTTTTAGTTTCCTGACTGCTGGTGCCAAGAGTTGTTTATTATGGAGCTGAGCAAGCTGAAGCTGTTCACACACTCAATCTCTTCTCCATCCATCATGGTGTTGCTTGGCCCATTGGTGATAATCTTTGTCTTCTTGATGTTGAGCTTCAGTCCATATTGAAGACTACAGTTCTTTGACTTTCTACAGTAAGCGCTTTAGGTCCTCCTCAGTTTTAGCAAACAAGGTTGTGCCATCTGCGTAACATAGGTTGTTGATGAGTCTTCCTCTAATTCTGATGCCACATATGGAAACAAGACATCCCTGACACACTCTTTTTCCTGATTTTGAACCGTGTTGTGTTTCCCTGCTCTGTTCTGAGGACTACTTCCTGGTCCAAGTATAGGTTTCACACAAGCATGATCAAGTATTCTGGGATTCTCATTCTCCTCAAAGTTAACCACAATTTGTTGTAATCCACATAGTCACATGGTTCATATCCTCCAGCTTCTCTGCAGGAGGATGGGCAGTCTCCTGTGCAATTTAACTGCCTCTAAAAGCCCACTTTATTCACATGAACACAATCAAGTGTTCTGGGATTCTCACTTTCCTTAAGATTAGCCACAATTTGTTGTGGTCCACACAGTCAAATGCTTTTGCATAGTTAATGAAACACAGATAGACATTTCTTGGTACTCTTTACTTTCAGCCAAGATCCATCTGACGGGCAATATTGTCACTTCTACCATGGCCTCTTCTAAAACCAGCTTATGTTTCCATTAGTTCTCTGTTCTAATAATTTTTTTATAGTGTTCAGCAGGATTTTGCTTGCATGTGGTATTAGTAATATTGTTCAGTAATTTCCACACTTTATTGGGTTACCATTTTTGCAATGAGATATGGATCTCTTCCAGTTGCTTGGCCCGGTAGTTGTCCTCCAGATTTCTTGTCACGACCGTATTATGTTAATGTGAAACTTATACTTGGATCAGGAAAGAATCCTCAGAATAAAGCAAGGGAACACTATATGGTTCAAAAACAGGAAAGGAGTGTGTCAAGGATGTGTCTTGTCTCCATACTTTTTCAATCTATATGCAGAACAGAGCATTTGGGAGACTGGACTTTATGAGGAGGAATGTGGCATCAGGATTAGAGGAAGACTTCTCAACAACCTGTGATATGCAGATGTCACAACTTTGCTTCCTAAAACTGAGGAGCATCTGGAGAGCTTTCTGCAGAAAGCCAAGGACTGTAATCTTCAATATGGATTGAAGCTCACCATCAAGAAGACAATGATTGTTACCATGGGACCAATTGGCAGCACCATGGTAGATGGAGAAGAGATTGAGGTTGTTAACAGCTCTGGCTTGCTCAGCTTCATAATCAATACTCTTGGAACCAGCAGTTATGAATTCAAAATATGAATTTCACTGGGAAGAGCTGATGCGACCTACCTCTCCAGAGTACTGAGGAGGAAGCATGTTAACCTAGAGACTAATGGTACAAAGGTCTTTGCAGTTACTTGTTATGCATCAGAGAGCTGGACACTAAGGATGACAGAAAAAGAATCAATTCTTTTGAGTTGTGCTCTTGGAGAAGAGTATTGAACATACCATGAACCACCAAGACAACAAACAGGTCTGTCTTAGAGAGGGTGAAACCAAGCTTTTTGGAGGCTAGGATTTTGAAGCTTCCTCTCACATACTTTGGGCACGTGGCCAGAAGGAACCAGTCCTTGGAGAAGGACATCATGCTTGGAAGAGTGGAGGGACAGCGTAGGAGATGAAGACCCCAGATGAGATGAATTGGCACTTTAACTGGAGTAATGCGGGTAGTTATATTGGGGTCAGAGCTGTTATACTTAGGGTTGCTATGAATCACAGGCAACTCAGTGACACATAACAAAAACCCACTAGAGGGTCAGCTATGGATTGGTTCTGACTCAAAGGCATGCAACAGCAAAGCAACTGTACCGTTTACTTGAGTCATATCTTCAAAAATACTTAGCTCTGATAATCCTGTTAAAGTGAGTATTTACTATGTGTCTTACACCTGTTATTTCTGGTTGCAGTTATCTTGCCAACCCAAAGGTGTGTTGTTGAAATCTACTGTTTTATCTGTGGGAGAAATATGGGCAATCTTTCAAGCCGTTGAAAACCCGATTAAGGATCAGTTATGAGTCAATTCCAACTTGGTAGCACATAATAGTGAGCAAGGAGGTCATCCTTCCAGCAGAGAGAGTCAATTCAAATCCGCCAACTCTTCTAAAAGAGACAGTTATATAGTCTCGTGCAGTTTACAGCCTCAGAAAACTTACTGAGACAGTTTTCATTTGACAGCACATTGGAGAAATAAAGGTGACAGAAGAAGAGATGCCTTTGAATTATCGTGTTAGAGAAGAGTACTGACTGTCCCATGGATTGCCAAAACCCCACAAGTCTGTTTTAGGGGAAGTGCAGCTAGGCTGCTCCTTTAAAGACTAGAATGGTGAAACTTCACCCCATATACTTTGGGCATGTTGGAAAGGTCAGAGGCAGAGAGGAAGACCTTTAACAACACTGATTAAAGACAATGACTGTAACTGTGGGCTCGGGCCTGTCAGAGGGGGTAAGGATGTTGTAGGATAGGGCTAAGTTAAAATCTGTTCACTGGCTCAAGTTCAGTGGCACCTAACAACAATTGAAGTTCTTTCATTTTAGAGTTTCTCCAATTAATACATTTACTCTTTGAAATCCTGTAATTCTTTGTTTGTTCTTAGTTGCAGATATTGATGGGAACACTTTCTGGAGTCACCCTTTCAATAGTTTGTGCAGTCCCAAACAACTTGAAGAGTTTATTGTGATGGAATGTAGCATAGTTGGAAATCTAAAACGCAGTGCAGGTTCTGGAACAATATCAAAAAAAGTAAGTTCTGGTCGATCCACCTCAGTTTTCTATACCTACTGCTCCAGTTAAGTATCCTTTTGCTTCTCTTTTATTTCATGAAATCCCTAAAATGTGTTATTAAAATAACATGAGTAGCACAATAAGTTAAAAATTGTAGGGTGTTGGTGGTGTGGGGTGTTTTTTCCTTTCTTTGTGATTATTATAGTGAAAATTATTTATGGGCTAGTTTTTTTTGTTGTTGTTGTTGTTTTTCCGTCTATACTGGAGAACAACCACTTGGCCAGTTGACTGGAAGAGATCTATATTTGTTCCATCCAAAGAAGGGTGACCCAATAGAGTGTGGAAACTGTAGAACAATATCGTTGATTTCATATGCAAGCAAGATTCTACTGAAGATTATCCAAAAACAACTGGAACAGCACATCAGCAGAGAACTGCCAGACGTCCAGTCATGCATGGTTGTTGTTGTTATGTGCCATCGAGTCGTTTGCGACTCATAGCGACTCTGTGTACAACAGCCCTAAACCCTGCTCTATACTGTGCCAGTCGCACTGCCTCTGACAC